AGGAAAGATGAATTGAATCAGATTGGAAACAGAGCAGGTCAAAATCTATTTTCTCTCTCTTTCGTCTTACTCCCCTGACCCCCATTACCTTCCAAAAGAAAAAATAAAGCTCTTGTAACAAATAGGCATATTCAAACAAAACAAATTTGCACATTGACCAAGTATAAAAAAAATGTCTAAATTTGTACCTCGAGTCCATCACTTTTCTTTCAGGAGGTTTGTACATGCTTCATCGTGGGTCCTTTGGAATAATGTTTAGTCATTGTGTTGATCAGCGTTCCTAAGTTTTTCAGAGTTGTTTGTCTTTAAAGTATTATTAATCTACAAATTATTCTCCTAGTTTTGCTCACTTCACTCTGCATCATTTCATAATAGGCTTCTCAGGTTTCTCTGAAACTGTCCCTTTCGTAATTTCTTATAATGCAATAATATTTTAATATAGTCATAGCTCATAATTTGCTCAACCATTCCCCAAGTAATGGACACCTTCTTAGTTTTCAGTTCTTTGCCACCGTAAAAAAGCAATTGTTATAAATATTTTTGTGAATATGGATCATTTTCTTCTTTCTTTGATCCCTTTGGGGGGCATATAGGCCACAGACTGAATACTTCCTGAGCCAAAGGTAAGTGCAATTAAGTAACTTTTGAGTCATAGTTCTGAATTGTTTCCTAGAATAGCTATCTATACCAGGTCTTGGCTCTACCAGCTATGCACTGTTTTACTGAAGCTCCTCCAATATTTGTCATTTACTTTTTTCCCCCTCATTTTTGCCAGTCTGATGTGGAATAAGATAGAATCTCAGAGTGGTTTTATTTTGCATTTGTTTAATTAGTGATTTTGGAGCATTTTTTCTTATGACTATAAATAGCTTGGATTTTGTTCTCCTGAGAACTGTGTGTTCATATACTTTGACCATTTAGCAACTGGGGAATGTCTCTTATTCTTACAAATTTGAATCAGCTCCTTATGTCTTAAGAGACCTTTATTAGAGGTTTTTCTTATATTTAACTGTTTCCCTTCTAATTTTAGCTATATTGGTTTTATTTATGCAAAACCTTTTAAATTTTATGTAATCAAAATTATCCATTTTATCTTCTGTGATCCTCTCTATCCCTTGTTTGGTTATGAACTCATCTCCTATTCATAAATGTAAAAGATAATTTCTTCCTTACTCTTCTAATTTGTATATGATGTCATCTAGGTCATGTATTTATTTAGAACTTTTCTTGGTATAAAATGTGAGATATTTGTCTATACCTGGTTTCTTCCAGATGGCATTCCATTTTCCTCAGCAGTTTTTGTTAAATAGTGAATTCTTATTCTAGTACTTTGAGTCTTTGGGTTTATTCAACATCAGGCTACTGTATTTGCTTCAGTTTGTTTTAAACCTAACCTTTCACTGATCAGTCTACTTTTAGCCAATACTAAATTATTTTAATGTACTGCTTTGTTGTATAAATTGAAATCTGGTATTGCTAAGTTCCCTTTTTTCTCCCTTTTTTCTCATTATTTCCCATGAGATTCTTGAGCTCTTGTTCCTCCAGATGAATTTTGCTATTATTTTTTTCTTGATTTTATAAAATAATTCTTTGGTAGTTTGATTGGTATGTCAAATTTAAGTATTGTCATTTTTATTATATTGATGCAGCCTGCCCATGGCAGTTATTATTTCTCTATTTAAGTGTCTTTCTTTTTTGGAGAGTATTTTGTAGTTGTATTCACATAGTTCTTGTGTGTGTCTTGGCAGGTAGCTTCCCAAACATTTTTTATAATATGTAGTTATTTTAAATGGAAATTCTCTTTCCATCTCTCCCTCCTGGGTTTTGATCAAATATATAGAAATTCTATTGGGTTTTTTTGAGTTTATTTCATATACTGTAACTTTGTTGAATTTGTTTCAAGTTTTTTTTTTTTTGTTGACTCTGTTGGGTTCTCTAAGTAGTCAGTCAGTCCATAAATATTAATTAAAAAGTGCCGACTCTGTGCCAGGCACTGTTCTAAGTACTGAGGATACAAAGAAATACAAAAAGTAGGTTCTGTTTTGAGGGAGCTCACAGTCTAATAGGAAAGACAGCATGTTAACAGCTATGTGCAGAAAGCTAGATACTGAGTAGGATAAATTGGAAATAATCAAAAAAGAGAAGGCACTAGAATTGAGGGGGGTAGGGTTGGGAAATATTTCCTATAGAAAGTGGTATTTTTATCTGAAACTTAAAAGAAGCTAGGGAAGCCAGGAGGCAGAGATGGGGTTTGGAGGCTGGCTGGTGAAAATAATCAGTTGGGAGATGGAGTGTCTTGTTTGAGGATCAGCAAGGGGTCAAAGAGTATGTGGGGGGAGAAGAGTGTAAGGTGTAAGAAGATTGGAAAAGTAGGTGGGATGCAGGTTACAAAGACCTTTGAACACCAAATAGAGCATTTTATATTTGATCCTGGAGGTAGTAGGAAATCACTGGAGTTTATTGAGTAGAGGAAGTGACATGGTCAGACCTGTATTTTAAGAAGATCAGGTAGGCAGCTGAGTGTAGGATGGATTGGAGTGGAGACCAACAAGTAGACTGTTGTAATAGTCTAGGCATGAGGTGATGAGGGCTTGTGCCAGGGTTATGTGGTAGTGTCAGAGGAGAGAAGGGGGTGTATTTGAGAGATGTTATGAAGGCAAAATTGGCAGGTCTTGGTCAACACCTAGGTTGCATGTCTGGTGACTGCACAGATGGTGGTACACTCATCAGTCATAGGGAAGTTAGGAAGAGGAGAGGGTTTGTGGCAAAGATAATGAATTCAGCTTTGGATATCCAGCTCTAGATGTCCATTAGGCAGTGGGAGAGGAGTCAGTGGAAGTCAGAGAGGTTTAGGGCTGAATATGTAGATTTGAGAACCATCAGCATAGAGATGATAATTGAATCCATATGAACTGATGATTGTCTTGAGTCTTAATAATTCCTTTCCACTCCTACAGTCATTACCTTCATTGAGGCTCTTATTTCTCACATGTTTTATTTTTCTAGCCCCTTAACTTCCCCATGACCCAGCCTTTCTGCATTCTAAATTTTCCTACACACTGCTCTGTTTATAGTCTTTTGAAAACATAGGTCTGATCATAAACACTGTCCTGCTCCAAAATCATCCGTGGTTCTCTACTGAATAAAACACTGATTTCAAGGCTTTTTGTCATACAGGTTTTGTCTACCTTTCTAGCCTTAATTCATAATTCTCCCTAGCATCCACTCTGTATCCTGGACAACCTTTACTCCCGAGATTTCTTATAATCTAAGTCATTATAACCATGAAGTTGTATGTTGTTTTGCCCTATTTTTGTGACTTAACCATTGTGTGGAATTCCTAATGAAGAAGCTCTTTCCACAAATGCAAATGGGCAGCATTTTTGTACCTTCTAGTTTTGGACAGTTACTGAGGTCAGGTAATTTGCTTAGGTCACACCAAGACACCATGCTGTCTCTTCAGTCTAGCTTGGAGATTAGCTCTCTATTCACTGTACCACACTGCTTCTTCATGACATATAGAGAAGTAAAAGTCACCATCGTATGAAGATATCCACTAAAGAACCGACCACTTATTAAATTAGCCTTTGTTCAAACAAGTGTCCCTGCTTAACACTAGCTTTTGTCCCCATCCACTCTTTGTAGGTCAGTTTCTCTTGCTGATTATTAAAAGGTGCTTCAAAAGAGAAGCCCTTAGAAAATTGTTGAAGCCCTCAAATATTATTGCAACAATAAACCTCTTTATTATCATGTTATACAAGTCAGACATGGACTGAAGGATGTTTTTATTGTGTTACCATATAATTTTGTAATAAAATTATAATTCCCAAACCAAACAACACTTGATGTATTTTTATGATAAGAATTAAAATTTTATTTTAAGAATTAGAAGATAAAATTATCTATATTTTGTTAAACATAGGACAAATAAACTTATTTTAATTTTAGATTTCATTTCCAAGTCATACTCATTATTCTCTATTTATGGTGAAATGTATCCTCTTTTAAGTGGATTCACTTTGAGTGTTTTTTTTCCCCCTATACTAATTATGCTTGGATAATGACGACCTCCTGTGTTTCCTCCCTAATTCTGTCCTTTCTTTGTCTTTATGCCTTTACCCATTTGTGTTTTCCTTTTTCTACCTATCCTTTTCTTCCTTCAAGGTCCATATCAGGCTACCTCAATTATGAAGCTTTTCTTGATAACCATTCCTGTGAGTGACCTTACCCAACCTTAGTCCCTTGTTGTATGTCTCCAAGAACTTTTGAAACTCTCCTTCATACCTTTCATGTTCTAATGTGCATTTGTATTTATTTGGAGATATACTGCTTTCTTTTATTAGTATCATAGCATTATAAGATTTTAGAATGAAGGAGGACAACTTGATAACTGTATTCGAGTATTTTGAGGGACTGTTACATGTAAAAGTGAAATTAATTGGTTCCTCATTACTGTATGGTTCCTATCATGCTGGATGATGACTTATCCAAGGGTGTCATAGAGAAGATTCCTGTTCAGCTGTGAGGTGGTCTAAAGATCTCCTACAGTCTCTTGATTCTGTGGTTCACACACCATATTGTTCACTGTATGTGGCTAAACATTGTTCCTATGGAATTAATCTCTCACAATGTTTTACTATCATATTTTCTAAGAATCAACAAATGGTATTATTTATAATATGCCTTGTATTACAATAGTTATCTTTCAGAATATATACCTTATGAATACACTGAGGAATATAGACCTTATTAGCAGAAAAGAAAGGCCAAAGTTCAGGAGGTAGGTGTTAGAAAAGTTTTTAGAATTTGACATGGGGCAAAAATCAGTGTCATATTTCTACTCATTACTAATGTATTAATGTATGTATCAAGGATCTTATTTTTTATGATATTTCATATCTTTCTTTTGTCCTTAAAGGAAAATAAACATTTTATGTGTGTTCTCTGCATTATTCATGCAGAACTTGTACAAATTTTGTTTGTTTCTTTCTGTATTTCAGCTTTCAGAAGAAGAGAAGATCCAGCGTTACAGCATTCTTTCTGAGCTCTACGAGCTCATTGGTTTCCATCGCAAATCTGCTTTCTTCAAGCGGGTAGCAGCAATGCAGTGCGTGGCCCCCAGTATTGCAGAGCCTGGGTGGAGGGCTTGCTACAAACTGCTCTTGGAGACTCTTCCTGGCTATAGCTTGTCCTTGGATCCCAAGGACTTCAACAAAGGTAAATTCTAATCCTGTGGGAGTACAAGATATTTATGAATTCACTAATTGCTAAGAATATGGCCTCAATTTTTATTCGTATCCAGTTTGTATGAAACCTGAGTGCAAACTATGATGGCTGGGTTGTTTGTTGTTGTTGTTGTTGTTGTTTTTTAGTGTCAACAACAAATCAGCAAGCATTTATTAAGCACTTATTGTGTGCCAGGCACTCAGCTAAGTTCTGGGGATACAAAGAAAGGCAAAAAACAGTTCGAGCTTTCAAGGAGCTCACAGTTGAATAGAGGAGACAACTTGCAAACGTCTGTAGCATACAAGAGATATGCAGGTAAAGTGAAGGTTGTCACAGAGGGAGAGCCGTAGCAGTGAGAGGACATCTAGTGTGTATGTGTGTCTATGTGTGTGTGTGTATCTTTTTCCTTACAAAGAGATAACAGCTTTAGGAGTACAATCCTTTTTCAGAGCAGCCTGTATCATTACCTCTATGTATCTAAATACACATAGAGGGTGTGATAAAGACCTAGTAAAGTTTTAGGCTATTAAAACTGAGTATACAAAGCTAATTAATAATAAAACTTAACAATGTACTAAGACTTTTGAGATACTTTGTATATATTTTCATACACCCTTAGGTGTGTATATATCTCTGTGAATACATAGGACAGGAACTGGACTAGTGATTTCATTTTTATAGGGAACTCCTAGGTAAGGAGACTCCTTCTCCTAATGTAGGTAGGCATTCTTTCTGAAACTTAAAGTCTTAGAGAGTTGCCTAAAGAGATGAATGATTTCCTTAGGGTTGCGTGGCCAGTCTGCATCAGAGGTAGGACTGAATTCAGGTTTTCTTTGGTTCCCATTGCCCAGCACCATGCTGTGCATGTAGTAGGAACTACTAATATATAGATATGACTAATGTATAGATAGAAATACAAAGATAAAGAATACATGGTCTTGCCCTCAAGGGTTTAGTAGACACATTGGTTGTTGGTTCTTTGACCTCAGTTTTGAGTGATGTGGGAATACCTATTCAGTTTGAAAATTAAAATTTCTAATCAAATACTTTCACTATTTAAAATGAGACTGAGGGGACAGCTAGGTGGTGCAGTGGATGGAGCACCAGTCCTGGAGTCAGGAGGACCTGAGTTCAAATGTGGCCTCAGACACATAGCACTTACTAGCTGTGTGACCCTGGGCAAACCCCAATTGCCTCACCAAAAAAAAAAGAAAGAAAGAAAGAAAGAAACTGAAAGCAGTCTTTGATTATAAATCTTGATTAGGCATCATGGTGGTGCTATGGATTGAACAGTGGATTTGGAGTAAGAATGACTTGAGTTGAAATCCTACCTCAGACTCTTGTTAGCTTTGTAACACTGGGCCAGGCACTTAACCTCTCTCTGCTTCAATTTGCTCATCTCTAAAACATATATAATATCATCACTTACCTTACAGGGTTGTTGTGAGGATTCAATGAGGTAGTATATGTAAAACACTTTGTAAATCTTAAAGCACTATAGAAATATTAGCTATTATTATTATTAAAAATTGGGGCAAAGGAATCAGAACCTCAGAATTCTCTCTCCAGTTATATAGATTGGTGATAAAAATTATGACTAATATTTGTATCATTTTACATTTCACAAAAAATTTTCATATCCATGATCTCTTTTGATATCTCAGTTATCCTGTGTGGAAGTTAGGCAGGAATTATTCAAGGAATTTTTCAAGGTGAGAAAATAATTTCACAGAGGTGATTGAAGAAATCTAAATCATCAGATTTTAAGTGCAGTTAAATTTTTTAATGTTCTTAGGTTGCCTTGCACATATTAGGTATTAAGTAAATGTTTAATAGTATTTATAGTGATATGCACATTTGTATTTTCTAAAGTCAAAGCATGGTATGGTGCTTTCCTTGACTATAGTAGGTGCTTCATAAATGTTTGTTGAATTGCATTGTGCCTTTTCGTAAAATAAGGATGTGGGAGCTGAAAGGGATCTTAGGACTAGTTCCAAGTTGAAACCAAAGCTTTTGTACCTTGATGCTAGTTGTGCCTTTGGCCCTGCTTAACTTGGAGCATATTTTACCTTTTCAGCCTCTGCTCAGAGGATGGCCCCAAAAAGTGAGGAGATATTTTTTTCCTCTACTCTCATAGCAGGGAAAGGCTTAGACTGAAGTATGAAAATGACTGGTCATTTTGGTGCGGAGGAAAAAAAAAATCAGTCAAGTTAGTTATTTAGCATCACAGAGATGGAAAAGCCAGGTTATGTGATTTATTTCTTTTAAACTAGATGCTACTGGTGTTGCAGGGTTGCAGCATGATAATAATACTCCCAATAATAACTCCTGTTTATACAGTATTAGGTGGTTTGTAAAATGCTTTTATTGCAACAACCCAGTAAGGTTGGTAGAATGAGTATTAGTCTTTCTGTTTTACTGATGAGAAAATAGGGTCACAGAGAAGTGAGATGGCTGGCCTTTCATTATGGGGACAGGAATTAATACTTGAACTCAGCTCTTGTTTCAAGTCCAATGTTTTTTTCCCACCACATCATACTTTCCCTGCTGCCTGAACTGTTTACAAGTTAGTGGATGAAATGGCTTATTTTCTTCTGGCTCTCCTTACCTTCATTATTTAAAACTTGTCTGGCCTATTCATAGCTTTTCAGCTTATTATGATCAAATGTTTATTGAGCATCTTCCCCTTAGACTGAGCCCTCGAGTTAGAGAGGTACGTAATACACGTGGCCTGCCCTTGAGGAAGCTATCATTACATCTTATCATGGAGGTAACTGCAGGCAAAATTTCTTTGGTGGTTATGAAGAATAAAATGGCATTTGCAAATTCTTAGAAATTATTTGGTGTGATAGAATTGTATCCTAATTTGGATTAAAATGGAGACTTGGAAAGGTAATGATGCCTACAGCCAAATCATTTTAATTTATTTGAATCCATTTTCAAAATCTTTGACATTTTAAATTTAGTACTAGTTGAGTGGTAATTTTTCATCTGGTTCTCTGGGAGGAAATTATTATTGTAAAAGGTGGGGAAATGTTAAAATATGTCATCCTATTGAAGGGCAGGGGAAATTATTTTGACCAGATTGGTCTTCTCTTCCAGTTTCTCTAAGTAAATATCATGTAATGTTCTCAGAAGAATGCTTACTAGTCTCCAACATGTAATAAAATGTTTATTGTATGGATTTTAATTTAAAAATATTTAGAAGGGGAAAATAAGAAATATTATTCTTAGCTGCTTTACTTTTGCCTTTGATAACAGTAGTTACAGACATATAGTTTGCTTTGTATTGCTTGAGCTTTGGAAGGGATGAAACATGTCAAAGAGATGCATAGGTAAATGGTATTTAAATACAATAGAACTCACTGTAGTTTCCATTTAGGCAGTGGAGACCGGCAACTATTTCATGATGAAGGGGCTTTATTTGAATGGCCTATACTGCTTCAGAAGCAGCTCTAGTTGTCATTAAGATTTTTGGCTGACTTTTCAAGTGGTGTTTTTGATGAAGGCTTTCATCATACTTGAATAAGAAATGTTGAATTCTGAAATACAAAGCCACGAAGGTTTGATTTGAGGCTAAGCACAGCGGCTTTAAAAAACCCAAGAACCAAAAACAAAAGCCAACAGGGGCTACTTGCTCCCATTTTGAAGTATCCTCCTCCATCATGATGCTTGGGCTATGATGGCAGAGTAGGAGGGAAGCAGCAGAGGTATTCTCAGGTCTTCAGAGGCCTATTTGTGCTATTCTGAGCCACTGTTCAGAGTCCTGGCCTTAGGGTTGAGTTTCATGGTCAGTTCCACATCTTGGTCTGGATTAATGGTGTAGAAATAGACTATATTGGTCAGGTCCTGGGCCAAGTCAAGCTTCTTGTACTCGTCAGGTGAGATTTTAGAACCATGTATAGTCTTTCTGCTGTGTTCAGAGAGGAGGGAGGTGTACTTTGTAGCTGAGTGCTTGAAGGTGTCAAGCCCAGTGTTTCGATAAACGTATTCTTCTGGCAACTTCAGCCTTGGTTGGCCACTATCATCTCATCCATTGAAACATGACCCAAGGGCAGACATAGCAAGTAGTCTTTTCCATCAGGGGCTTTCTGGGGTAGGAAGTTGGTGAGGAGGTTTTCAAAGTAGCAGGGCAAGTTGGACACTGATCATTGGTGCAGCTAAAGCCTGGAAGTATTCCTCAACCTCCCCATTGCCATCAAAGCGCCTGCCAATCAACTGGTCTTTTGTCAGCTTCTTTACAGTTTCTGGTCCATTGTAGATCACATGACTCAAGTCCAGGCATTTGGACAGATCAGCCAGAAGTTTACCTTTCTTAATCTGCTCCTGGTTGAAAATTTCCCATTAGATGGTCACAGCAAAAGCTGGATAGGCCTCTGCCAGACTGGCTCTAGGTTCTTTTTATCCTTCTGATCTCTTCATACCACCTCTCTCTGCAATCTTGATGCTTCAGTTTTTTTTTTCTTCTTCTACTTTCTGCTGGGGTTTTTGAGTCACCTTATGAATCTTGAATGTCCTGTCTTCCAGGAGGGTTTGGCAACTGAACCACACTGAGCATCTATTCTTCCAGAAGCCACTACTAGTTTCTTGTCAGCCCTGAAGAGTCACAGAGCAAGAGAAGGAACTCAGATTAGAAAAGTCTTTTCTTCTAGCATCCTGACATAAAGGAGCTTACCCTGGCTTGTCTTTCTTTCCAGATTTGTTGAATATTACTCTCTTTCACATACTATGCTGTAGCCAAACTGGCCTGCTTGTTGGTCTGCAAACATAATCTTGCATCTAGGATAAGGGGATAAGAGTTGGAGGGGGAGGGAAGGGAGAAATGAATAAGCATCTTTCTATCTATCAACCATCTATCTATCTATCTATCTATCTATCTATCTATCTATCTATCTATCTATCTATCTATCTATCTATCTGTCTATCTATCATATTACTATGTGCCAGGCACTGTGCAGAGTGCCTTACAAATATTATCTCATTTGACCCTC